GGGATTGAGCCCACAATCGGGGCATGTGCCCTTGACCAGAATTGAACCTGGACTCTTCAGTCCACAGGCCGATGCTCTATCCACTGAGCCATGCCAGCTTGGGCTAAATATGTCTTTTTTGAAGTACAGGCTAGAAATTCCTTAACATATATTCAAAATTAGTGTCCTAGGTGTGATGTAAGGTACTAAAATTGCAAAGTCTACAACAGCAGTCGCCAACTGGTGGTCCGTCCGTAAGGTCCAAAAGGTTGGCGACCGCTGGTCCATAACATACACACTCTTCAGAGAAATAGACACCTGGGAAGAACCAGCTGTGCACGTGAAGGTCTGGCATGACGTAAAGAAATTTTTTAAAATGTTTTTATTGACTTTCGAGAGGAAGGGAGAAAGAGGGATAGAGAGAATCATTGATCGACTGCCTCCTGCACACCCCACACTGGAGATGGACCCTGCAACCCGGGCATGTGCCCTGACCAGGAATCGAACTATGAGCTCCTGGTTCATAGATGGATGCTCAACCACTGAACCATACCAGCTGGGCTAAAGTCATATTTTAAATGATTTTAAGTGAAATCATTTTCTTGGTGTGTATATTCTGAAAAAACATCTCTAAAACAATACCTTCCTGTGTTGTCTCCTTCATTTCAGAATCTTGGATATGAGCTATCACTATGTAACTAAGTGGAGTTTGGTTGCATGTGGCCCACCTTGGGCTCATCCCAGAGACAAGCTAGTGCTCTGAGGCTGCGTCTCAGTCCCACTGTGCATTCCTCCCTGAAAGCTACCCTTGTCCTCCATGCATGTTTCCATTGGATGATGTATTTGTACATATTGGTCAGGAGATATTTTTAATGCTGTCTTCAACATTATTTCCATAAAATTGTCTTTAAACTTATCACAAAAGGTACACGATTCAGAATGTGAACCAGCCCTAGCTGGTTTGGCTCAGTGGATAGAGCATTGGCCTGGGGACTGAAGGGTCCCGGGTTCGATTCCAGTCAAGGGCACATGCTTGGGTTGTGGGCTCGATCAATGATTCTCATCATTGATGTTTCTCTCACCCTTCCTCTCTGGAATCAATAAAAATATATTTTTTTAAAAAAAGAATGTGAATCAAACACTGTCTACAAATGTTTATCTTCTCACCCATTTAAAATACCACTTGGAGGACAAAAGGAATAAAACATACTATAGACTCACAAAGGTTAATAGAAGAGACAGGCAAGGAAACGCATTAGTGGCAAGTAGTTTAACATCTCCAGGGGCAGGAGCCAACAGGGGTAAAAGTTAAGATGAGCTCACAAGTGGGGATACCATGCAGGTCCCTTTAAAGTGGGGGCTCGAAGTGAGGCTGAAACGGGGCTGCCTCGAAGCATTTAAAGTTGGGGCGGGAGAAGAGGAAATGCCAACAGCACAGCCATTCCTCCATCTTCAAATCCCCACACCAGAGAGCAGATCAAACCTATGAGCATGACGACAAATCTAGGTAACGGGTCTCACTAGGTCCCAAACCACCACCAAGACACATGCAGGCGCTGGCATCTGCTCAGGAACAGAGGCGGGAGCAGGGCAGCCAGTGGGCCCGAGGGGAGAGCTTTAGAACAGCCACCGACACGCACAGCAGACCCCGGAGGAAGTGGCATGAGACAGGCTTTGCCCTCCAGCAGCGTGAGTGCAAGAGGCCTGGTAACGTGGGAGACGGAAGCCATCTCATCCAAATGAATCATGGGAACTGGCTGGCCCAGGCTTCCTTCTAGGCTAGGGGGCCCCCAGGAGACAAACTGCTGGAAACTGAGCCAAAAATGAAGAGGGGAGAGACCAGAGGCAGAAAGGTTAAAAGAGAAGGGACAGTTGACCAAGAAAGCTCAGAATACCCTGCTCTTGAGCCCATCGGGGGCAGGGGAGGGCTTAAAGCTCCTGTAAACGATGTTTCTCAGCTTAAATTTTACAGTGGGGCCTTTGACTTACAAGTTTAATTCGTTCCAAGACCGAGCTCATTAAGGAGCTCGTTAACTCAAATTACTCTATCAACTCAATGCAAAAAATCGGCCGAGAGACAGGGTATCTCAAAAAACTCGTTAGTCGGGACACTCGTAAGTCAAGGCCCCACTGTACTTCAAAATAAACCACAGAATAGCTTTTAGATTCATCTCTC